GATCTATGCATCTGTATGTATAGATATTAATATCTGCATCACGTCTCTTTGGCTCCTTTCACACTGGCCCTTCTTTATCATCCATAGTCGCCCATCTGTGATTAAGTTTTATGTTCATATTCAGTTATTTTCTTGGTTAAGTCATGGACGATAAATGGTTTTATTAGTGATTGTGACCTCAGATAGTCTTCATTATGTGGTTTCTGACACTGTATGACACACTGTTATCTATAAACATGCAACTATCTAACAAATTTACTAACTATAGCCACCAGCAGGTGATATACTCTACACTGTTTGTTGTATTTTATTTCATTTGTGGCTTCATTAAACACTTGTTAACAGTCTGTGTGCTTGTCTGGTCTGTTTAGTATGTTATATGCCATACATGTGTGACTCACCAAGACTCGTATGTGTGACATACTGGCCAAATAAAGTGATTATTCTGGAAAAAAGACATCACTGACCTTGTAAACCCCACTAGGAACGCTTTCGTTGACTCCTGTTTCCACACGGACGCTGCGGCGCGGTTGCACGCTTGTAGGGATGCGGGGTTATTTTGCGATGCTGTGGAAATAAAAGTAAGAATTTAATTGAGAAATTCAGACAAAATCACTGCAAATGCTGCTTAATTCGCTCGGTTAGGTTATTTAGAGCCGTTTTCTGTGTATGTACTGAAATGTCACGGCGCCCGTGTCGTGAAATAGCGACGCTGCTAACCGGAATGTGCTAAAAACCAGACGGAGCTAAATAAGAAAATACAGTTTTAGTTCATTTAAGATGATTTTATAACACGTGCGACTGTAAACAAAGGCTTTCTAGCCGCTGTCGGCCTCTGTGGGACTGTTCTCCGTTTATTTTGTAAGACAGCTGCTTGGTTTGGATAGCTGCAGACTAGAGGCTGCACGATATGGACCAAAAGATCATACCGCGATTATTACTGCTTTATACCGCGATATTGCGATATACCTTTGATGTGACGCGGTTAAAACGGGTCTGTATTTCTTCTGAGCACATTATTGACATTTGTTGGATCATGTAAACTTATTTTTTAACGACAAAGTGCCACAGTACACAACATAATAGTCAGTAGTTTAATAATTAAAGGATTATTTGCATCTTTTAGCAACAGTATCAGTAATACAAATGCTTATTCTGTGTAATGGATTAGTACAGCACAGTGTTTTACATTACCAGTTAACAAACAATGATTGTTCTGGTTTGGAAATATTGGCTGTTCTGATGATTTTGATCAGAGATGTTAAAGCTTGTAACACTCAACATGGTTGAGATTATAGATTATAAGAGCAAAATAAATATAGATCGAGTGTAAAGTGTTAAAAATAAAGTAAATAACAGAAACATGCATGGTTAATTATCAGAAATATGTGCTTTATTAATTAAGCAGTAGATTAAACAATATAGAAAGTAATGATGATAAATGATTTTATTAGTGATTGTGACCTCTAATAGTCTTGATTGTGTGGTTTCTGATACTGCATGACACACTGTTATCTATAAACATGGACTGAAGTACATCAGCATTAAGAAACTAATTATTCGATTTTTAACATATCATTAAAACCATCAAAATCTACTTACTACAGCAACCACCTAACATATTTACTAACCACAGCAACCACCAGCGATACCATAGGAAATACATAGCAACACCGTAGCAACCACCTGGGGTACAGCAGCAACTGGCTAACAACACCCTAATAACCAGCTGGGATGCAAAAGCAACCACCTAGTGACACTCTAGCAACCATCTGGGATATTATAGCAACCGCCTAGTGACACTCTAGCAACCATCTGGGATATTATAGCAACCGCCTAGTGACACTCTAGCAACCATCTGCGATACTATAGCAACCACCTAGTGACACTCTAGCAACCGTCTGGGATACTATGGGAACTGTCTGGGATTCTATAGCAACCGCCTAGTGACACTCTAGCAACCGTCTAGTGACACTCTAGCAACCGTCTGGGATACTATAGCAACCGCCTAGTGACACTCTAGCAACCGTCTGGGATACTATAGCAACCGCCTAGTGACACTCTAGCAACCGTCTGGGATATTATAGCAACCTCCTGTCACACTCTAGCAACCGTCTGGGATACTATAGCAACCACCTAGTGACACTCTAGCAACCGTCTGGGATACTATAGCAACCACCTAGTGACACTCTAGCAACCGTCTGGGATACTATAGCAACCACCTAGTGACACTCTAGCAACCATCTGGGATACTATAGCAACCGCCTAGTGACACTCTACCAACTTCCTGGGATACCATATTAAGCCACCTAGTAAATCCTTTGTATTGCAACGACCTGGGCTACCATAGCAACCATTTGGCAGGACCCTAGCAACCGCCTGAGACGTGCTTAAGCCGTGCAGTGTCTCTGCATTGTTTTCAGGAAATGCACTTTTATAGTTGTAATTTTAACCGATTTTCAACCACAGATTACACTCTGCTGTTCCCCCAGTGACCTGACAGCAGCTGAAGGCCAAGATGTTGACCGACATCCCTCGGGACGCTCTCCTGCGTCCGCTGACCCGGAATGAAGTGGTTGGGATGTTGGTGAGGCTCACCATCTTTGGAGCAGCGACGTATTACAGCATCAAGTGGGTGGTAGAAGCTCTGGACCCGACGCAGAAGCAGAAATCACAGGCCAAGAAACGGGTAACGGTGCCTTTATGGTCCAGCACGCAGGATTATACACACACTGGAGGAATGTAAACCTCTGACCTCACAACCATTCAGTCAGAATCGTTTTATGATTTGATTTAGTGCCTCAAATTTTACTACAGTCAAAATAGATTCTGTTATTTTGGTACGATTCAGAATTATGTTTGAAATTATGTTACTGATTATAAAAATCTGACTTGAGGAACAGGTTATTGGAATATGTGCTGTAAAACCAGTAAAAAACAGTACAGCAAGCGTTGCTATGTTTGGCGTCAGACCCAAAATGTTTATTTTTGGCCAGAAGAGGAGTGAATAAAAGGGGTATTGTAGCACTGAAAGTTTCAGTAGTTTTTACGTTTTTATTTAGTTTTTCACTTTGGTTGATATCAGTTTAGTTTCAGTGGGTTTTAAGGTTTAAACTGTGGAAGCTTTAGATGGTATTCGGTAGCATTTAGACAGCTGCAGCCTCTAGACAGTGTGGGGTAGCCTTTAGACAGTGTGTGGTAGCCTTTAGACAGTGTGTGGTAGTCTAGAGGAAGTGGTAGTCTTTAGACGGTGTGGTAGCCTTTAGACAGTGTGTGGTAGCCTTTAGACGGTGTGTGGTAGCCTTTAGACGGTGTGGTAGCCTCTAGACAGTGTGGGGTAGCCTTTAGAAGGCGTGGTAGTCTTTAGACAGTGTGTGGTAGCCTTTAGACGGTGTGTGGTAGCCTTTAGACAGTGTGTGGTAGTCTAGAGGAAGTGGTAGTCTTTAGACGGTGTGGTAGCCTTTAGACGGTGTGTGGTAGTCTAGAGGAAGTGGTAGTCTTTAGACGGTGTGGTAGCCTTTAGACGGTGTGTGGTAGTCTTTAGAGGGTGTGATAGCCTTTAGACCGTGTGTGGTAGTCTTTAGACGGTGTGTGGTAGTCTTTAGAGGGTGTGGTAGCCTTTAGACGGTGTGTGGTAGTCTTTAGACGGTGTGTGGTAGTCTTTAGAGAGTTTGGTAGCCTTTGGACGGTGTGTGGTAGCCTTTAGACGGTGTGTGGTAGTCTTTAGACGGTGTGTAGTAGCCTTTAGACGGTGTGTGGTAGTCTTTAGACGGTGTGTGGTGTTCTTTAGATGGTGTGTAGTAGCCTTTAGACGGTGTGTAGTAGCCTTTAGACGGTGTGTGGTAGTCTTTAGACGGTGTGTGGTGTTCTTTAGACGGTGTGTAGTAGCCTTTAGATCATGTGTGGTGGTCTTTAGACAGTGTGGTAGCTTTTAGATGTAGTGCAGTAGCCCTTAGTGTGCGGGAGCCTTTAAACGGTGTGCGGGAGCCTTTAAATGGCTGCAGTAGTCTTTCTGTTTCCATCACTGGACTAAACATATTAGAACCTTGGATCAAACATAAGATAAAGCTCTACACTGCCCTCTGGTGGGGGAAAGAATTCAGACACCTAAGTTCTTCAATATGAAAACAAAAACTAAGCTAAAATAAAAGCTAAAATTCTCTCTCTCTCTCTCTCTCTCTCTCTCTCTCTCTGTCTCTCTCTCTCTCTCTCTCTCTCTCTCTCTCTCTCTCTCTCTCTCTCTCTCTCTCTCTGTTTGTCTCTCTCTCTCTCTCTCTCTCTCTCTCTCTCTCTCTCTCTCTCTCTCTCTCTCTCTCTCTCAGGCTGAGCGGCTGATGAAGCAGATCGGGGTGGAGGGAGTCAGTCTGAATGAGTATGAGATGAATATCGCCACTCACCTCGTCGATCCTCGCAGTATGAAGGTAATATAGACCCTCATATAAAACTCGTTTAATATGTAAACACAGTTACAGATTATTTGGTGGATTTAACATATTGGAAAAATATTAAATGTAAGATGTGGCATAACTTTTGCACAGGATATATTTTAGTTTTTACATGGTAAAATGGACATTAAGTGTTGAGGCTCCAAAGGTGGTTTAATTTTTGTTTAAAGAACAAAATGGCTCTTCTGATCATTTGGGTTGTGAACTGACCCAACCTGGCTTTAATGCAGAGGGAGCCGGTCGGATTTCTCGCTCATCCAGCTGTGTTTTTGTTATGTGCCGCCACAGACTGTCCGGGCGCTGCTCTTCCACACTTCCACGTTCCGCCTTTTGCGTTCCGTCAACATTACATTATAAATTAAAATTTAGAAAATCGATTTTTGACATTTTTGAATCGATTCAGAATCGACCACATCTGTATCGCGATGCAGCTAAGAATCGATTTTTCATCCCACCCCTAATGTGTATGTATATTACACAAGGCTTTTATACACCAATCAGCCATAACATTACACTCCTTTCTAGATTCATTGTCCATTTTATCAGCTAACACGTGTTAGTGTGTGTTGTGCTGGTGCGAGTGGATCAGACACAGCTGGAGTTTTTGAATGCTACCTTGTCAGTCCACCTTGTAGATGTAAAGTCAGAGACGATAGCTCATCTGCTGCTGCACAGTTTGTGTTGGTCATCCTCTGGTCCTTCATCAGTGGTCACAGGACACTGTTGGCTGGATATTTTTGGTTGGTGGACTATTCTCAGTCCAGCAGTGACACTGAGGTGTTTAAAAACTCCAGCAGCACTGCTGTGTCTGATCCACTCAGACCAGCGTAACACACACTAACACACCACCACCACGTCAGTGTTACTGCAGTGCTGAGAATGACCCACCACCCAAATAGTACCTGCTCTGTGAGGGTCCATGGGGGTCCTGACCACTGAAGAACAGGGTAAAAGGGAGCTAACAAAGTATCAGAGAAACAGATGGACTACAGTCTGTAACTGTAGAACTACAAAGTGCACCTATATAGTAAGTGGAACTGATACAGTGGACAGTGACCGTAGATTCAGGGAGCTGGACTTTGTTATGGCTAATCAGTGTAAGTGCTGTTCACACTGCTTTATATAACCTTGTTGTGCATTTGATTGTAAAATATGAAGGTAACGTGGAGGGATGTTGCGGGTCTTGATGATGTCATCACAGAGATGCAGGACACCGTCATCCTGCCCTTCCAAAAACGGCACCTGTTCCGCGGATCCAAACTCTTCCAGCCTCCCAGAGGTGAGGCTGGAACGCCCACGCTCCGTGGAGGGCGATAATGAAGCCGTATATTCTGATGCTGAGGTCATGATTTACACTGTTTTTATTTGGCAGCTGATTGTTTTCACAAATTCTTCACTCTCTAAAGCTGAAATTCCCGTCTCTGAAAGAATGAGCAGCTCATTTTCACTCATATAGAGGAATTCATAACAGTGTTTTATAAGAATGTGTTTTATATAAATGTTTATTGATTCACCAACAGCCACATGACTTTTTGTTCTGTGCTAAGTTCAGTGAAATGTTCACAGTTTTCTGTGGTAATTGATTTGTTTTGGGTTTGGTGGAGAATGATGGCGTTTGGTGGAGAAGGATGGTGTTTGGTGGAGAATGATGGTGTTTGGTGGAGAAGGATGGTGTTTGGTGGAGAATGCTGTCATTTGGTGGAGAATGATGGTGTTTGGTGGAGAATGATGGTGTTTGGTGGAGAATGATGTGTTTGGTGGAGAATGATGGTGTTTGGTGGAGAATGCTGTCGTTTGGTGGAGAATGCTGTCGTTTGGTGGAGAATGATGGGTTTGGTGAGAATGATGGTTTGTGGAGAATGATGGCGTTTGGTGGAGAATGATGTCGTTTGGTGGAGAATGATGGTGTTTGGTGGAGAATGCTGTCGTTTGGTGGAGAATGCTGTCGTTTGGTGGAGAATGATGGTGTTTGGTGGAGAATGCTGGTGTTTGGTGGAGAATGATGGTGTTTGGTGGAGAATGCTGGCGTTTGGTAGAGAATGATGGTGTTTGGTTGAGAATGATGGTGTTTTGTGGAGAATGCTGGCGTTTGGTAGAGAATGATGGTGTTTGGTGGAGAATGCTGGCGTTTGGTGGAGAATGATGGTGTTTGGTGGAGAATGATGGTGTTTGGTGGAGAATGCTGTCGTTTGGTGGAGAATGATGGTGTTTGGTGGAGAATGATGGTGTTTGGTGGAGAATGATGGTGTTTGGTGGAGAATGATGGTGTTTGGTGGAGAATGATGATGTTTGGTGGAGAATGATGATGTTTGGTGGAGAATGATGGCGTTTGGTGGAGAATGATGGTGTTTGGTGGAGAATGATGATGTTTGGTGGAGAATGATGGTGTTTGGTGGAGAATGCTGTCGTTTGGTGGAGATTGATGGTGTTTGTGGAGAATGATGGTGTTTGGTGGAGAATGATGGTGTTTGTGGAGATGATGTGTTTGTGGAGAATGATGGTGTTTGGTGGAGAATGCTGTCGTTTGGTGGAGAATGATGGTGTTTGGTGGAGAATGTGTTTGTGGAGAATGGTGTTTGGTGGAGAATGATGGCGTTTGGTGGAGAATGATGGTGTTTGGTGGAGAATGCTGGCGTTTGGTGGAGAATGCTGTCGTTTGGTGGAGAATGATGGTGTTTGGTGGAGAATGATGGTGTTTGGTGGAGAATGCTGTCGTTTTGTGGAGATTGATGGTGTTTTGTGGAGAATGATGGTGTTTGGTGGAGAATGATGGTGTTTTGTGGAGAATGATGGTGTTTGGTGGAGAATGCTGTCGTTTGGTGGAGAATGATGGTGTTTTGTGGAGAATGATGGTGTTTGGTGGAGAATGCTGTCGTTTGGTGGAGAATGATGGTGTTTTGTGGAGAATGATGGTGTTTGGTGGAGAATGCTGTCGTTTGGTGGAGAATGATGTCGTTTGGTGGAGAATGATGGTGTTTGGTGGAGAATGCTGTCGTTTGGTGGAGAATGCTGTCGTTTGGTGGAGAATGATGGTGTTTGGTGGAGAATGCTGTCGTTTGGTGGAGAATGCTGTCGTTTGGTGGAGAATGATGGTGTTTGGTGGAGAATGCTGTCGTTTGGTGGAGAATGCTGTCGTTTGGTGGAGAATGATGGTGTTTGGTGGAGAATGCTGTCGTTTGGTGGAGAATGCTTTCGTTTGGTGGAGAATGATGGTGTTTGGTGGAGAACGCTGTCGTTTGGTGGAGAATGATGGTGTTTGGTGGAGAACGCTGTCGTTTGGTGGAGAATGATGGTGTTTGGTGGAGAATGCTGTCGTTTGGTGGAGAATGATGGTGTTTGGTGAAGAATGATGGTGTTTGGTGGAGAATGATGGTGTTTGGTGGAGAATGCTGTCGTTTGGTGGAGAATGCTGGTGTTTGGTGGAGAATGCTGGTGTTTGGTGGAGAATGCTGTCGTTTGGTGGAGAATGATGGTGTTTGGTAGAGAATGATGGCGTTTGGTGGAGAATGCTGGCGTTTGGTGGAGAATGCTGGCGTTTGGTGGAGAATGATGGTGTTTGGTGGAGAATGCTGTCGTTTTGTGGAGAATGCTGGTGTTTGGTTGGAGAATGATGGTGTTTTGTGGAGAATGCTGGTGATTGGTGGAGAATGATGGTGTTTGGTGGAGAATGCTGGTGATTGGTGGAGAACGATGGTGTTTGGTGGAGAATGTTGGTGTTTGGTTGGAGAATGATGGCGTTTCGTGGAGAATGATGGCGTTTGGTGGAGAATGATGGTGTTTGGTGGAGAATGCTGGTGTTCGGTTGGAGAATGATGGCGTTTGGTGGAGAATGCTGGCGTTTAGTGGAGAATGATGGTGTTTGGTGGAGAATGCAGGCATTTGGTGGAGAATGCTGGTGTTTTGTGGAGAATGCAGGCATTTGGTGGAGAATGATGGTGTTTGGTGGAGAATGCTGGCATTTGGTGGAGAATGCTGTCGTTTGGTGGAGAATGATGGTGTTTGGTGGAGAATGCTGTCGTTTGGTGGAGAATGCTGTCGTTTGATGGAGAATGCTGGCATTTGGTGGAGAATGCTGGTGTTTGGTGGAGAATGCTGTCGTTTGGTGGAGAATGATGGTGTTTTGTGGAGAATGCTGTCGTTTGGTGGAGAATGCTGGCGTTTAGTGGAGAACGATGTTTTGTGGAGAGTGATTGCCTTTAGTCGAAAATGTTGGTGTTTGGTGAAGGATGATGGTTTATGATGGTGACTGATCAGTATATAGACCTACCATTAAAGCATAACTACCGGACTCCTTTCTGCAGGTGTGTTATTATACGGCCCACCTGGTTGTGGGAAAACCTTAATCGCCAAGGCAACAGCCAAAGCATCAGGATGTCAGTTCATCAACCTCCAGGCCTCCACTCTGACGGACAAGTGGTACGGCGAATCACAGAAGCTCACCGCCGCTGTGTTCTCATTGGCTGTCAAGCTCCAGCCCTGCATCATTTTCATCGATGAAATAGGTGAGTGGTGTGTTTGGATTGAATGTTTATGATCCTCTTGTTGAGAGAAATATACAGAAAAGTGCTTTTCAGAATACTGATGGTACCCAAATTCATATTTCCTATAATAACGGCCAGTTATTATCATCATGAGTACAGTACATTTCATATTTATGAGGTAGAGTTATGGTTGGTGCTTGTGCATGTTTGATCAAAGGGGTTTGAGATTTAGATGTTTTACCACAACAGTGTATTTTCAACATCTGTCACAAATATAAACTGTAAATAAAACCATCAGGCCTTTTCTTAAACTTAGAATTATATGGATGTATGGAATAATAATGAGAATATTTATGCTAGTGAAGAAAAAAACCCGTTACGATTACAGATGGGCATTTTAGTCATATTTGACATAAATATCCCACCTCACTCTCCAAAAAAATGATACATCAAATTTTTTCTAGGCACTTTAATTTGCTCTTGTGGGTCAGTATACATTTACAAAGTCTGACCTGTGAAAAACTTCATGTCCACTAAATATCTGATGTATTTCACCCTGAATCTCTTTTTTTCGATGTAAACTAGGCAGTCCCAATCCTGGGAAGTGCTTATGTAAGCAGTGTCCTCACCAATCACGTTAAATATTACAGTTAGGGCAGCACGACTGTTTTCATAATCAATTAGTCTGTCCAGTATGACTTCAATTAATCGATGAATTGGGAATCAAAATCCTGCCGATGTTAGTCTGTTTTTTATTCAGCAAATTAAAAAGGCAATGATTTATTCTTCCTTTATGCAAAACATTAAAACATCTACTTTTCCTAATTTTTATTTTTTCCAAAAAATGGCTTTTATCAACATCACAGCAACAGAAAAACTCTATTACTGAAAGATGATAAATCAAAAATAAATTACATAGCTTCTGTGTGGTTGATAAATTCATGTAATAAAATTTGATATTGGATATTTATACAACAGTTAGTTCCGGCCACACAAGCTGATAGGTTGAGAAGCGTTCTAGTGGTGCTGTTATTTCACTATATCACTCCGCTGAGACGCAGTTACTAAGCAACGACTGTGACAGCTGTAGGAGACGCTCAAGACATTTGAACGTTTTTACTTCTTACTTTGCCACAAACAGAAAATGGACACTTTTAAGATCACATTTGACCGACAGCTGATTTGGTCAGACTCTGAAGATGAGACGACACTAAATACCCAAACTGTCAGTCGGTCTGTGTGGAGCTGGAGAACGAACTGCCGGCTGTGCAGCGAGTGGGCGGAGCTCGTTACTCTGACGTAGCAACAAGCTGCTTGTTAAGGAACTATAATTTGGTGAAGGAACTGCGAACATTAAAACATATTAAACGCTGCGTTCACAGCCCAGTTTATTAATTTATTACTGTATTTATTTAACTGTTGTATTAAAGCAATAGAACACTCGAGGAGTGTGTTATCGCCAATAACATCACGGCTGTGATGATCTATGGCGACCAAATCACAGCCGTGATGTTATTACACGATAACACACTCCTCTGTGTTCTATTAAATACAGATCACACTAACAATGAGGTCTTCAGCCGTGTCTGATATGGAGATATGAAGCAGCTCATCACACAGAAAACAGCACTAACCCTGAGCACGATGATATATGTTTATGTGGTCATATTGCCCAGTCCTAGAGCAGTTGATCCACGGTTCAGATGGATTTCTTGTGTGAAAGCAAACCAGTGATAATAATCCCTTCAGCCAGCGCTGCTCTGCTAAAATAAACAGGATCAGCTGTTTCTTTATTTCTTTAGTTGTCTGATTATTTAAGTGGTCGTTTAAACAGCACACTCTGATTTCTTAGATCAGATTAAGGTCTAGAGATCAGGAGTCGTATTAGAGAAGCACCTTGACTCTGAAATCTGATGCATTTGGTCTCCATGACGACGTCAGTACAGAGAATTTCGAACAGCAGCTATTCCAGAATATCAGTTCCTACCTTCATCATCTCATCATGAACTCCAGATAAGAAAACAGCATCACACAAACATCCTAACTAGACTAAACCTCCTAAATCCTGTCCTAACTTTAGGATGAACCCCAACAGGGTCCTCACTTCTGTTTAAGGTCCGTTTCTATGGTTTTTAGGCAGCTGTGTCAGCAGCATAGTTCACTACCAGCATAATGAGCTCCATTTATTCCTACTGTAAAACGCTGCTTTCACTGTGAGATGATTTTCTTTTCTAACTCTGCGTTTTAAAGATCTCAGACGCTGCAGACTCGATCTCCACCGCCCCTCTGATCACCTTCGTGTGTTAATGTTGATGATGAAATATTACAGTGATGGTGGTGAATAAGGATAGTGGTCAAGCTTGTAACAATAGAAGAACCCTTTTGGGTGCTATATAGAACCAATTTCAATTTCCATCAATCTGAAAAACACTTTCATGATGCAAAGAACAATTTAATAATTTAATCAAAGAGTTCTTTGGGTGCTCTTGGTTCTATATGGAACCATTTTCTTTACTGGAGATCCCTTGGAGCACCAACTTTTTTTAAAAGTGTATAAACAACTACTAATCGTTTATAATAGGATGTCGACCTATTTGTGCACTGACTGACCCATTACTTGTCTTGCTGTATTCTTACAGTTACACGCTCTAGGATAAATTAACTTGTGCCTCTTTATCTCCTGTTCTAGATTCATTTTTAAGGAATCGGTCCAGTCTGGATCACGAGGCCACTGCAATGATGAAGGCCCAGTTTATGAGTCTGTGGGACGGCCTGGAAACTGGAGCATGCACTCAGGTTACACCCCCAACACCTGCACACACACTGGGGCTGTGCAATGTGGACCAAACACCAGTAAAATAGCATAGTAACATATGGCATTTGAGATATGCTTTGCAGTATATTATTGATTAATTAATTAATTAATTAATGTAATACATTTAAGGATTGGCCTGTGTTATTTGTAACGCTGCATTTACACTGTTCCGGCGCGTCGACGGACGTGAACGTACTCCCCCTCTTCAGCCGGCTGCATGTGGGTGTTAACAAAGACATTCCCTACATCATCCAATTAAATCACGTCCTGCTAAGTCAAATTTTAATTAATAAATATGCTGATTTTCTAATAATCACAAACCAAATTTAGTATGTTATTAATTCCAAATATATATATATATATATATGTGTGTGAGTATATATTTAAAAATGTGTAGGTTTAAGTTTCTTGGAGCTTTTCCTCCTTGCTCTACCGCAACATTCGAATACGGAAAGTTCAACTCAGCTCAACTTTTCGCTGCACCGCATCCCCCAGACTCAAAGCGCCGGACCCATCATGCTTTCCATTGAAGACGAACAGGATACGTTGCGGTGCATCGACGCACCGGACCAGTGTAAATGCGGCCTAAGGCTGTTGTAGGGATGTGGTGAAGACACTTACTGCGTCTAAAACCGCATCCTAATCCATAATTAGGCCTGTTTAATTGGATTTAGTGCAGCAGTTTGTAAAACATTGAATATTTGAAATTGTTGTAGTAGTAGGTTTATTGTTATTACTCTTATTATTTTTATTATTATTATTATTTTTTTTATTATTATTATAATAATTTTTATAGTATTTTTAGATGTGGCACTACAGGTTCTATTTTGTGTGGTAACTTATTTAACCTCAGAAATACGAAACATCATAATGTGTATCGTGAAAATGTCTTGAAGTATCGTGATATTAATATTTAGCCATATCGGCCACCTCTACAGAATGGTGTGTCAAAAATAGTACCACCACTAGCAGTGCATCCGTTAGTGTGTAGTAAGGCTGTATGATATATTGTATTTTTATCGTTGTCATGACATGAGTTTCTGCGATAATCACATCGTTAGTGCTGCAATGACAGAACAGATAAAATTATCTGCGTAAACTTTTAGAAGCCTGATGAGCACTTCACTGTGAACGCTGCTCTCCCACACAGGGGACGAGTAACTTAACCATTAGGCTAAACAGCCAATTACAAAACACACACACTCAAACAGTCAGGATTGTTCTCACACTCAGTGTTGTGTTTAATTGTGCAAGGCACTAATGGCTACTGTCACAACAAAACACTTTTTTGCCTATTTAAGAACGAATGTATATTTATTTGTTTTTGTAGCCTTTATAGAAAAAGCTGCTGACTGTTTCTCAGCCCTTCAGTGCACAAAAAATTACGGATGCGCCGATATGGGAATTCTGGGCTGATCCCAATATCCAGTAATTTACACATACATATCTTTACATCTTGGGCATCCAAAACGGCCTACTGTAAACCAGGCCACGTTGTGAAGCATCCCAAAACACAAAACCATTGTTTTTAATGGAGATGCGCACACCTGCACCGGCACTGTGTGACTCTGAGCAGTGTTCGGTTCCTCAGATCTTCAGACGCCACTCAGGATTTTGTCTGATCTGATGCTGAGCGTGGCGAGTGATGCTGAACGTGGCGAGTGATGCTGAGCGTGACGAGTGATGCTGAGCGTGACGAGTGATGCTGAGCGTGACGAGTGATGCTGAGCGTGACGAGTGATGCTGAGCGTGACGAGTGATGCTGAGCGTGACGAGTGATGCTGAGCGTGACGAGTGATGCTGAGCGTGGCGAGTGATGCTGAGCGTGGCGAGTGATGCTGAGCGTGACGAGTGATGCTGAGCGTGACGAGTGATGCTGAGCGTGACGAGTGATGCTGAGCATGAGTGATGCTGAGTGTGACGAGTGATGCTGAACGTGACGAGTGATGCTGAGCATGAGTGATGCTGAGCCTGACGAGTGATGCTGAGCGTGACGATTGATGCTGAGCGTGGCGAGTGATGCTGAGCGTGACGAGTGATGCTGAGCGTGACGAGTGATGCTGAGCATGAGTGATGCTGAGCGTGACGAGTGATGCTGAGCATGAGTGATGCTGAGCGTGACGAGTGATGCTGAGCGTGACGAGTGATGCTGAGCCTGACGAGTGATGCTGAGCGTGACAAGTGATGCTGAGCGTGACGAGTGATGCTGAGCCTGACGAGTGATGCTGAGCGTGACGAGTGATGCTGAGCGTGACGAGTGATGCTGAGCGTGACGAGTGATGCTGAGCGTGACGAGTGATGCTGAGCCTGACGAGTGATGCTGAGCGTGACGAGTGATGCTGAGCGTGGCGAGTGATGCTGAGCGTGGCGAGTGATGCTGAGCGTGACGAGTGATGCTGAGCCTGACGAGTGATGCTGAGCGTGACGAGTGATGTTGAGCGTGGCGAGTGATGCTGAGCGTGGCGAGTGATGCTGAGCGTGGCGAGTGATGCTGAACGTGGCGAGTGATGCTAAGTGTGACCAGTGATGCAGAGCTTGACGAGTGATGCTGAGCGTGGCGAGTGATGCTGAGCGTGGCGAGTGATGCTGAATGCTTTATTTCATTCGTTTTATGAGGAGAGTGTAAACATGAATGAGCTCTCCTTGTTGATGCCTCGGGCGCCAGAATGTAACAGCTGCACCATTTAAGAAAACAGTAGTTTACCCTGGGCTGGGAGCTGTGTGTGTCACCCGGATCGGGGAAGTACCTGTGTAACTGTGCAGCCGCGGCTGATTAAATAAAATTAAATGAAGATTAATGTCAGAGTTTTTTTATGTACCCTCAATGTCTTGGGAACCAAAGACTACAAAGAATGTAGTTTGTTGAGAGTCGTGTACTGTAGATTTCTTTAGAGGTGTTCATGCGTGTGTGTGTCTGTCTGTGTGTGTGTGTGTGTGTGTGTCTGTCTGTGTGTGTCTGTGTGTGTGTCGGGGATGGTGTGTGTGCTCTGCAGGTGATGGTGATGGGAGCCACTAACAGACCACAGGATGTAGATGCAGCTATTCTCCGAAGAATGCCCACAGCCTTCCATGTAGGACTGCCTGTGAGTTACACACAGTGTTCGCACATACAGTACACTCTTAAAAAGATGGTTCTTCAAACGTTCTTTAGTAAAGAGAATGGTTCTATTTAGAACCATGAACACTCAAAGAACGCTTTGCATGATTAAAGTGTTCTTTCAGAACACCATTCTTCATTTATTTAATTTGCAGTCCAAACGGCCATTCAGTACAAGTTACTGATTTTCCAGAAAAAGCTGGTGAGATTAGAGATCATATAATCTGAGGTAGAACGTCAAAGTAAAAAGATCCAAAACTGGATTTCAAAACATGATCAAAGGCTACACACTTAAAGGTGATAGTCCTTCAAGGGTTCTTTAGTAAAGAAAATGGTTCTAAATAGAACCATGAACACTCAAAGAACCCTTTCTTCTTCAGATTGATGTATAATGTGCTATACATGGTTCTATATAGAAATGTTTTGAAAATTATTCTATATAGCACCAGAAAGGGTTCTTCTGTTGTCACAAGCTTGACATTGTCAAAATAGCAGAACCTTTTTTGGTGCTATATATTAATTCATCAATTGTGCATGGTAATTAATTCATTATTGGTCTAATATTTTGCTACAAGGTAATTAATTAATTTGTTTTATTTTTTATTTTTTATTTTTTTTACAGAATGCAGCTCAGAGGCAGGAGATCCTTCGACTGATCCTGTCAGGAGAAAACGTAATTCTCTAATTGTCTATGTGTGTATATGTGTTTATATACAGGGTGATTCAAAAAGATTGAATGATTTCTTTCACTTGTAAATCGTTACAGAACAATGCAGTGAACTGTAAATGGTTTATTATGTAATTGTACAAGGTCTCAGTCTGAACCTCCTCCAGCTGTACAGACAACATCAACACCATAGTCAAACTCATCCCATACTGGATTGAGCATGTCGGGTGTCGCTGCACTCACGGCTCTTTCAGTGCGATTTCGGAGATCATCCAGTGCTGTGGAACCAACGCCGAACGCTCTGAGCTGTTGGAGCTTCACTGCCCACGAAAATCACACTGCACAGTTATGACCTATTCACTCTTATTGAAGTGGAGAACGCAGAACGCTTTCTGCTCAGGGGTCTCATCTCCTCTCAGACTGAAGGGAGCCATCTTCCACTGACGGTCAGACACTCTATGACCCCCTCTTTCAATTGGATTGTGATTGGTTCCTAGGCGCCTCACAAAATATCAAAATATGGTGCTTTAATATCGGATTAATCTTTTTAAATCTCCCTGTGTGTGTATGTATATATATTAGGGGTGCAGGAAAAACTCGATTCTTAGATGCATCGCGATGCGGACGTGAACGATTCTGAATCGATTCACAAGTGTCAAAAATCGATTTTCTAAATATTTAATTTATAACGTAATGTTGACGGAATGCGAAAGGCGGAACTGGAAGTGGGAAAGTGCAGCGCCCGGACAGTCTGTGGCGGCACATAACAAAAACACTACTGGATGAGTGAGAAATCCGACCAGCTCCCTCTGCATTAAAGCCAGGTTAGGTCAGGAGTCACAACACAAATGATAAGAAGAGACATTTTGTCCTTTCAACAAAGTCAAACCACCTTGGGAGACACAACATTTAATGTCCAGTACGTGTTAATGTCATAGTATGGGCTAAAAATATAAACGAGAGCTATAGCCGCTTTCCTTCCATCTCCGCCAGAAAACTTTTCTTCAAAACTAGGAGATTTTCTTGTAAAATGTCTCAGTGGCCGGCTGTTTTACGAGGCTGAAGTCGCTTCTCATTCTAATTTTCACCTTAAATTCTGCCTTAGGCGCCGAATGTAACTGCTGCACCATTTAAGGTGGAACGGGAAAATTCGAAAGAGAAGCGAGTTCATTTTCGCAACTTTTTTTAAACTCTCGTTGCAGATTTTTTTTCGTTCGCTACTGGCGAGGCCAGACCTCGGGGCTGTGTGACCTGCTGTCTGATCACTGTTCTCGGTCGTTGAGAACCAGGGCTTTCGTGCTATGCTGCACACTTTGGAGCCGAGATTCAGCGTCCAGTCTCGAAAACACCCCCCCCCTACAACGAGACCAAAACCGAAGTTATAAGACCACTACGTGCTGTGTGGACACCCATTACCGCTGGACCTTATTTCAGGGCAACAGCGCATTTTATCGCAGATGAGTGGCAGCAGCGTCTCTGAATGAGAGCCTTCTAGTTCACTTGCCACATCACTTCCATTTGACTTATTAATAAAAGATATTTTAGATAATTAAAGCAAAGTATTTGTAATGATGCATTTACATTATGGATCATTACAAATACTTTGCTTTAAAACTACCAAGTCCTCAGACAGTAGGAAGATAGAAATCATGTATAGAGAAAAAAGATGCATCGATAATCGTTTTATAATCGCATCGCAGCCTCTGAATCGTAATCGAATCGAATCGTGAGGTGCCTAAAGATTCCCACCCCTTATACATATATATATATATATATATATATATATATGTATATACTGATCAGGCATACCATTCTGACCACCTCCTTGTTTCTACGCTCATTGTCCATTTTATCAGCTCCACTTACTATATAGGTGCACTTTGTAGTTCTACAGTTACAGACTGTAGTCCATCTGTTTCTCTGATACTTTGTTAGCCCCCTTTTACCCTGTTCTTCAGTGGTCAGGACCCCCATGGACCCTCACAGAGCAGGTACTATTTGGGTGGTGGGTCATTCTCAGCACTGCGGTAACACTGAAACACTGACGTGGTGGTGGTGTGTCAGTGTGTGTTGTGCTGGTGCAAGTGGATCAGACACAGCAGTGCTGCTGGAGTTTTTAAACACTGTGTCCACTCACTGTCCACTCCATTAGACACTCCTACCTTGTCAGTCCACCTTGTAGATATAAAGTCAGAGACGATAGCTCATCTGCTGCTGCACAGTTTGTGCTGGTCATCCTCTAGACCTTCATCAGTGCTCACAGGATGCTGCCCACAGGACACTGTTGGCTGGATGTTTTTGGTTGGTGGACTATTCTCAGTCCAGCAGCGACACTGCTGCTGTGTCTGATCCACTCAGACCAGCACAACACACACTAACACACCACCATCACGTCAGTGTTACTGCAGTGCTGAGAATGATCCACTACCCAAATGGTACCTGCTCTGTGAGGGTCCATGGGGGTCCTGACCACTGAAGAACAGGGTAAAAGGGGGCTAACAAAGTATCAGAGAAACAGATGGACTACAGTCTGTAACTGTAGAACTACAAAGTGCACCTATATAGTAAGTGGAGCTGATAAAATGGACAATGAGCGTAGAAACGAGGTGGTCAGAATGTTATGCCTGATCAGAGTGTGTGTTTGTGTGTGTGTGTGTGTGTGTGTGTGTAGATACATATGTGTATATATTAGCTGATATTGCTGTTTGAAACCAACTGAAACTTTCCCTCCTGAAAATCAGTGATAGTGTTGATATCAGTCAGGCTGTGATGTCGGTGTGACGTCTGATTGCTGGTGTTTATGATCTCTCTGTGTTCTCAGCTGAGTAACGCGATTAACCTGAAGGAGATCGCGGAGAAGACGGAGGGTTATTCAGGCAGCGATCTGAGGGAGCTCTGCCGTGACGCCGCCATGTACCGCGTCAGAGACTACGTCCGCAAACAGCAGATGAAACAAATCGCTCAGCAGTTTCAGCTGGACGATGATGAGGAGGAGGAGTATGTGTGGGCCTCTTTTTCTGCATTTTAGCTCTTCTAGTTGTAGTACTTGTGTGTTCATCTACAGATACTTCAATACATATAATACATATAGGATATCAGAGTCAGAATCAGAATCAGAATCCAGCTTTATTGGCCAGGTTTGCTCTCACATGCAAGGAATTTGGTTTTGGGTACAGGAGCTCACAGTGCACAGTATCAGACAGACATTTACATGGAGTGAATAAAATAAAATAAAACATGCATTCCTACCATCACTCACACACACACACACACTCACACACACACACACTCACACACACACACACACACACACACACACACAGTCATACCTGTAAACCTTACATTGTGCAAAGTATGAGTCTTAAGTTAAAGCTCTGAGTGCAGCAGCAGTTAAAGTGTGTATAGTGGCAAAGAAAGGGATCAGTGAGGTAACAGTCAGATTGAACGTCAAATCAAATAAAGTACAATCCAATAATATTTCAACAATATTTATTTGGATTGGTGTGAAATGGTTCAGATGTCTTTACAGTGGTGGTGATAGGAACCGGGGTTGCCATGACTACAACACAAATATAGACATTTTATTAACTATCCAGAACCACCAGTGAACCTACACGAGTCTTCTGAGTTTATATGGAATGTTGATGATGGAAAATAGTGGAAAATCTGAAATAATAAGTTTTCTTTGGGGACTATTTTGCCTCACAGTGCCCTGTATATTATGCATCCCTCCACCATGAATGGAGTTTAAGTTCTCAAAATCATAAAGCAGTGTCTCAGAACATCATATCAAATACAGTAAAATTCCATAATATTTCAACAATATTTATTGTCCGTTTTCCTCTGACTCACTTTTTTTCCCAACTGCTGTTTCTCGCCTCATCCTCCTTGTCATGTGTAATATGTATGTAATTGGCCTGTGGGTCCGGACCCAGTAGTCCGCCTATTAGTGGCCTTTGGTTTAGACGGTTCCGCCAGTTGGGAGGCCCAAGGAATATCAAGGAATATTCAGAGCCTGTAAAATGCTGTTTGGGCCAGCTGTACAAATGGGATGTGTTTGTGACTCCATGTCCCCACATTGTATGAAAACAAGTGCAGGTTTGTGTGTATTTGCCCTTTTCTTGGCTAAATATTCTCTGTTCTGTCTCCTCTGGTGTGCAGGCCAGTGGACGGCGCCCGGCTGCGCCCGGTGACTCAGCTGGACCTGCTGTTTGGACTGGATAAGATGAGAGAGTCCAAACAAGCTACAGCCACAGCGAACGCTAACCTCAGAGAAGTGCCGCTGGACTGAACACAGGCCAGAGAACATTCCTCTCTTAAAGGAGCAGATCAGTGAAAAAACAAATTTGCACAGTTTTCCCCACCTTTACTGCAAAGGTAGTCAAAACTGTGGACAAAATTCAAACTCCAGGATGCCTGCACTGTCAGAAATAAAGGTTCTGTTCAGGTACGTTTTTCGTTCATCAAGGTACAAACAGTGTAAATGTTCCCTCAAAGCTCCAACAGTGGTTCTAAGGTCTGATTGTGAACCTTAAATAAGTTTTTCCAGGTGAAAAGTTCGTATTTGTACCTTTTCATAACCGAATGTTTTAAACAGAACAGTAAAATAAAAGCCTGGAGACGAGACGGGGTGTGTGGAGTCAGTACAGCTTAGAACATATCATTTCAGTGGATTATGGTTCAGTTATGTTCCCTGACTAAAGGTACTGAGATGGACCCTTGAGGGTCCCACCCCAGTGAAAAGAGGGGCACTGACCCAGAGACAGTGTAGTACCTTTATTTCTGAGAGTGCACAGCAGGTCATTCTCACCAAACCACCTCAAACTATGTATATCAGTCATCATGCAGATAAACAATATTCGTATAATTTAGTAGAACAGTTAGAGCTCTATATGAGAAAGCAAAAATGTCTTCTTTATTCTATAACCCCATTTCCAAAAAAGTTGGGATGCTGTGTAGAATGTAAATAAAAATAGGATGCAATGATCTGCAAATCATGTAAACCATATTTTTGAAGGAAAATACTACAAAGACAACATATCAAATGTTAAAACTGAGAAATTTTATTGTTTTTTTGAAAAATATTTGCCCATTTTGAATTTGGTGCCAACAGCACGTTCCAAAAAAAGTTGGGACGGGGGCCTGTTTACCACTGTGTTTCATCACCTCTTCTTTAACAACACTCTGTAAGTGTTTGTGAACTGAGGAGACACTGCTGTAGTTTAGAAAGTGAAATGTTTTCCTGTTCTTGTTTGATACAGGATTTCAGCTGCTCATCAGTTCAGAGGCTCATTTGTCATATTTTTCATTTCATAATGTGCCAAATGTTTTCAGTGGTGACAGATCTGGACAGCAGGCAGGTCAGTTTAGCACCCGGACTCTTTTAATACGGAGCAATGCTGCTGTAATACATGCAGAATGTGGTTTGACATTGTCTTGCTGAAATAATCAAGGCCTTCTCTGAAAAAGACGTCGTCTGGATGGCAGCATATGTTGCCAAAACATGTATATATCGTTCAGCATTAATGGTGCCTTCACAGATGAGCACGTCACCCATGCCATGTGCACTAATGCCCCCTATACCATCATGAATACTGGCTTTTGAACTGTGCGCTGATAACAAGCTGAGTGGTCTTTAGCTCGGGGGACACAGTGTCCATGATTTCCAAAAAGAATTTCAAATGTTGATTCATTGGACCACAGGACAATTTTCCACTTCAGCTCAGTCCATTTTAAATGAGCTCAGGCCCAGAGAAGGTGGCAGTGTTTCTGGATCCTGTTTATATTTGGTTTCTTCTTTGTGTTTTAGAGTTTTAACTTGCATTTGTGGATGCAGTGATGAACTGTTTTCACAGACAGTGTTTTTCAGAAGTGTTTCTGAGCCCATGCAGTGATTTCCACTACAGAATCATGTCTGTTTTTAATGCAGTGCTGCCTGAGGGCCCAAAGATCACGGCCAGCAAATACTGGTTTTTGGCCTTTTAATGATATTATGTACTGTAGATGATGAAAGCAAAAGTTCTTTACTATTTTATGTTGAGAAACTTTATTCTTGAATTGTTGCTCTATTTGATGGTGCAGTCTTTCACAGAGTGGTGAACCCCTCCTCATCTTTACTTCTGAAAGACTCCGCCCCTCTGAGATGGTCTTTTATACCCAATCATGTTACTGACCTGTTGTCAATCAACCACCAGGTGATTTTTAGCATTACACAACTATACCAGCCTTTTGTTCCCCCGTCCCAACTTTTTTGGAACGTGTTGTTGGCATCAAATTCAAAATGGGCAAATATTTTTCAAAAAGCAATAAATTTCCTCAATTTCAACATTTGATTTGTTGTCTTTGTACTATTTTCAATGAAATATAGGGGTTAAATGATTTGCGCATCATTGCATTTTGTTTTTATTTACATTTTGCACAGCGTCCCAACTTTTTTGGAAATGAGGTTGTATTTTAATTTTTAATGCTCATTACTGCGGTATGTCCACATATCTGTTACTCATTACCAATATTATATATTTTTTCTTTTTTAAATTAGAAAAATAGATGTTGTGACATTTCTTTGATTTATTTTCAAATCTAAAAAAATTTGGTCACTAAATTTGGAAAATAATACAAAAAATCTATTTAAAAACAGTGAAATTGTTAATGTTTATTTTTATTATTCTATCAGGCATCACTGTTTGTATCTCCAAATGAAAAACAGTGGGTGCTGATATTTCTCAGGTTGGTGAGAATAACTTTTATTCTACTGTTTTTAGCTTTATGAAGTATTTTAGTCCATGTTTGTATAGGTTAGTGTCCGAAACCACATAATCAAGTCTACTAGAGATCACTTTAAAGGGATTTTAAAAAACCTCCATAACTCAGTGTGTGAGGTGTAAACAGAGAGATTCAGAGTGGTTTGGTGTGAAATGGTTCAGATGTCTTTACAGTGGTGGTGATAGGAACCAGGGGTCGCCATGACTACAACACAAATATAGACATTTTATTTACTATCCAGAACCACCAGTGAACCTACACGAGTCTTCTGAGTTTATATGGAATGTTGATGATGGAAAATAGTGGAAAATCTGAAATAATAAGTTTTCTTTGGGGACTATTTTGCCTCACAGCGCCCTGCATGTATCCCTCCACCATGAATGGAGTTTAAGTTCTCTAAACTATCATAAAACAGTGTCTCAGTCATCAGGCAGTGAATTCATAACCATTTCATGTAGGAACTTTCTGTGAGGGAGCTTTTAGAGGTGGACGTCTGGTTCCTATCACCACCACTGTGAACTATTCTGACTCTAATTCTGTTTTGGCTCATTGACCACCTTTCGGATAAGCGGAGGGAAAGTATGTAATTCGATTTTTCACTGAACTATTGCTTTTTTTCCTCTTGTCAGATCCACATCATGTGGTTTAATCTCACCTAAATATTTCCCTCTGATGGTTTTATGCTCAATTTTACTGCAAAAAGATCAGTGTCTGCATGTTCTGTACGTTTTGACTGTAGATAGTTAAAAATAATGTAATGACAGACTGGAATTAGTAAGAGGAATTATGTCCATAATCATATTAGCACCTACCAAATCAGTGTTTTACATATTATTATTATTATTATTATTGTTATTATTATTTTTAATTATTATTGTATGTTATTATATTGTGTGCGGTAAAGATAAGTACATGACCACATTTGATAAACTGAGATGGTTTGAGGGAAAAAAAACACATTTCTTGGTGCTGAAATTCAACACCAAATCTGAAATCTTACAACTTTTCCATATTTTTAATCCTTACAGTCTGTAACCGATCATCATTTTGTCAAACTAAAGAACTTATTGCGCACTCTCATCAATAAAACTGGAAAATAATACAGTATAATGTCTCTGTGGCTTTATTTTTGCTTGCAAATCAACCCAAAAGCTAAAAGAAATGTTTTAAATTATACATTAAAATATACATCGGCACACTTAGATTAACATGAACGTTGTTTTCTCTAGTGTGGCTCTCGAGGTGTGCGCAGTGGCCACAAGGGGGTGTTGTTGTCACATTTATCTGTGCTGATTCTTCTTGGTTATTATCACTTAAAACTCTTCAGTTATTTTCAGCCAACTCGTTTCTCTTTGAATGAGGAGAGACCTATAAAACTGAAACAAAAGCCATGTTAACATTCCAAGTTCAACATTAAAATGACTGATCAAATCTGACAAAAACAGCATAAATAGTTTGTTGCATTTGGCTCAAATGAGTAGGGGCTTTTCCTGCTGGTGGCTTAACCAGCAAGCTGATTGGCTTATTTATATGAAGGGCGGGACTTTCCTCGTAAAAAAGACGCCATGTAGAGCATTATGAGCTTTCCCATTTATATTTCAACCAGTGACCGTCTCCTGCTTTATAACATCTCTGTTTTTTTCCAACCATATAAGACCAGACTCCTCTCTGTCTGAATGTGGAGAGGCCTAAAAACCCAAAACTGAAGGTCAAATTAATGTTTAAAAAACATATTTGAAATCACAGGTAAAATATGACAAAAACCTCATAAATAGTTTGTAGCGTTTGGCTTAATAACACAAAAAACATGAATTTTTTTTTTCGTTTATTCTGGCTACTGTGCTTTCACAGATCTCCAAAACGAAGGGAGCTGTCTCCGCTACAGCTACAATGTCATCGACCCTTCCTCACTAACAGCGAAACCATCAAGCTGATTGGCTCTTTTTCTTGAAGGGCGGGACTTTCTTAGTAAACAGGCATTGTGAACTTTCCCGTTCATATTGACTGATGAGTGAAATCTGTTAGATAAAATGAGAGATATTAAAATAAACTGACCCTCTATCAGCGCTCCTGCTCTTCAGCTTATAATCTACGACCCCAGTGCTGATTTAAAGATTAAATATGTAGGTAATTTCCTCTGAGATGTGGATTTGACGTTAATTCCACTTTGCATTAAATACTCATTTATGCTCCACCTTTGCAGCCTCCAGCTTTCCTTATCATAAAAACGCAGATAAGCTGGTAAGAATAAGAAGAATAGATTATAGAGTCTCTGCTGATTCCTTAAAGTGATGAATATTATTAAAGCCACCAGTTTGACTCCTATAGTTTATGTCCCTGGTGTCAGAGCAACTGTGAGAAACCAAGAGAAAAAGCTTTAAGGGGGAAAAATTCATTAGTTCCGTTAATTCGCCGTGAGCCGCCTCGTTCTGCTCTCCTGGTTTCGACTGATCTGATTTATGAGAGCTTTTTAATCACTCGAACAAACCTGCTGTGCTAATAATGCTTTCCGGGTGGAGATGTTCAGCAGGTGAATGCTGGAGAATCGGAGGGCTGACCTGGAAGCTGAACAGCCAAGGAAAGAATCCTGGAAGTGCAGTGCGGAACGCCCTGAGGGGGAACACCAGGAGGTGCTGCTGGAAGGGGGGCACCATCAGGATAAGACACCTCCACCAGGAATTCACCGCACAGTTATGAAGGCCCTCAGCTCTTCACTGCATCACACTCAGAACT